ATTCTTTTAAGCTCCTACATTCAAATTATTGACTTTTCATCGACTAGCTTCAGTTGAGGAAAAAACAGTGAGGCACCAATACTGTCAAGAAGCATTATTTCACCAGAGCCTATTCAGCGGTTTGCCTTTAACCAACAAGCTCAAGATAAGATTCCTTTAGCATTAACACTCAAAGAGGCTTCCCTAGCAGAACATGACTTCATTATGCAGGACATCAACATAAAAGTCAAAAGTCTGCCAGCTGCTTTGCCGGACAAAAACAGAATATGTGGTATTTAGACATACACACTGTTTAAATCATAGGATTTCCAAACATGTAGCCTAAAATAAAAGTAATACATAGAAAATGCAAAAAAGTTACTACCTTTGCAGAGGTTCACTTGTAAATTTAGACCACCTTTTTCAGCCAAAAGACTTGTTCAGAATGTCTTCCTTTTAATCACAGAAACTTTTTCTATGGTTATCTTAGGCTCAGACACAGACTGCTGCAATTCTGTTCTGTAAGATGTGCTTTATTATACTACCCTTATTTTTCCAGCCACTTCTCCCCATACCTTCTCTGCACATTTTCAGAGATCCATCCAAACACAATAGTTTCCAAAAGCAGAGTTCATCCTAAAAGGCATTACTAGGTTAGAAAGGTGGACATAGGAAAAAGACTGCTACTAAAGCTCTGCCAGCTTCAAACAGCACCACCCCTCTTACAGTATGCTATAATTGTTAACAGGTTAAAAGTGGAAAATGAGAAAAGAAGGATAAGGGTCTTAGAGATAAAAAAAAAAAAACCACAAGTGTTGCTAGGAAAACCAGGAAGCAAGGGCTATCACTTCAAATATATAAAACCAACAGTACTTTAAAGATATGAATATTTGGAAGTGTAATGACAGGTAGAGAGACAATTTTTTGTTCCTTCAAATATTACTAAAAGATTTTTCTTTTAAACAGCCTAGTAAAACAGGGACCATGCCCAAAGTCCCTAAAGGCAATTAGAACAGAATTAGTTATTGATTATTAAAATATAAGCTAGGTTACAAATGCAAGAGTCTGGTAGAATCACAGAAGGAACTAGTAATAAAAGGGAACAATTATGAATACAATTGCTATATAGTTACATTTGCATTTTTAACGGACCTGTCCTGTTCTTCTGTAGAGAACTGAAATCACCTCATTTGCTTTCACTAGATATTGGCAAAACTTTAGATTCTATCCTTCTGAACCTATCCTAGTCCTCTTCAAAAATACAAAACCACCTCAGACTGTGATTGTTTATGGTCATTGTCATACAGAAAGCCCAAGAGGTTTACCTGTAGCCTTTGGTCAATGAACAGAATACATTCAGGCAATAACCATGGGCACAGGAACTATCTAACAGATGCTGCTTTAAAAAAAAACAAAAACAAAACAACTTACTGAAAGAGGCTGAAAAACACCGTGGTAGAGAAATGCTAACAAACAAAAGCAGTGAATGATTTTCACACATTTCAGATTCCACAGTAATGTCATACATCTAAAACCTTGACAGCTGTACAATACTTGTGGGTCCAAGAAGTTAGTCACCTGGAAGTGCACAGAACAGAAACGTGGCACTTCCCGTGTTACCTTACACAGATACTCTTAACCACTGCAAAGTAGTATCACATGGTCTCTACCACCTGTTCTAAAGTACTGCTTAAAGACAAAACCAAAAAACAAACTCCACAAGAAAACTGAATTCTGAAAAGTCAATCCTGGTATCTGGATTTATACATTTGTATGGAAGTAAAGAATCCTCTCTCCATAGGTCCACGCATCATCATCTGGATATTTTTACATACAGAATGCTTTCTTTTAATTTTGGATAAAAATGTACAGCTAATGTGTTAAAGATGACAAATCTCTAACTGGGTATTCACTTGGTTTTTTGTCATATTCACTTAGAAATAAGGTCAAGCAAAAAAAGTATCCAAGATAGAAGTTTGTTTCAGTTGAAGCCAATACTAGTCTGAATACAAAGAAGAGCCTAACATTCTGCTGAATGTAAAAGGTAGACATGCTTGAGGCCCTAGTGCTTAGTGCCCCATTACCTAATGCTAAGTAAAGGACAGTAAACAGACTTGGCTATCTCTAAGCAAATTTATCTCTGAACAGACTCAGGCATCTGTCAAAAACACTACTTCACAGATCTTTCTCAATGCACATCTCAACTTCAAGGAGAAATAATTCCCAGAGGACCCAAATGAACCATTTTGATTAATCTTCTGTCCAACTCAAAAAATACGTAAGTAGTTTGCACACACCACATTCAAGTCCCTCCATTAAAACCAAAATCAAGTGCTAACTGTTATCTTAATAAAGTGGAATATTATTCTATTTCAGTAGCCTGGATGTTTGAATTTAAAGTAAGGCCATACCAAATAGTTTATTATTGCATGCAATTATAGATATAGTCCTGATTTAAGACAAAGTGCTTTTTCTTCAGAATGAGACACTTAGTTTCTACTTTCTTATTTTTCCCTCCTATTATACAAAACATACAGATTCACCTCTACCAGTTCTCATCATTGACTTAGGGGGGTCAACACTGAGCAGTTACAGGACCAATCTCACAGCCTTCTTCAGCAATTAAAGTCATAACAGACAAAAAGCTATTCAATTAAAGTCTACTATAATTTTTTCTTCTTCTTTTGTCATCATCTTAATACTCTTCAAACAAAGGGCTGTGAGTAAGCTACAATACAATATAACTCTCCTAGCCAATTCCAGGAGAGGAATCCTGCAGTTCCTTTGAAGCACATTGTTACTAGCAACAATGAAAGTTGCTCCATATAAAGCTATGACCTGGCAGAGAAAAGTCTTCCTAAGAATCACAGTTTAAAAAAAAAAGCAGCTTTGGATTCAAAAATAAGTCACAATTTTCATGTAGAGGGAAATTCACTAGAGGGAACTTGCAGTATAGAATTTCCACCCCTCAAATCAACATTTTCACTTGCAGCTACTGTGCATTTGATGTGCATCACAGATACCATATGGCTCTAAAACACCAGTGTATGCTGTAGCAGTTGAAGTTAAAGCAAAGCTAGGAACAGCACAAAAGAGATACTTTTGCTGACATTGTCTTCTGAAATAATGTCCGGTACTGACTTTACTTTGGGGGCCTCAACTGTTTAGCCATATGCAAGGAGACTTAAAAACTTGAAAGGAGTTTTGCTCATGAAGGAGCATAAAAAAAAGAGTAGGAGGTCTCCATAGCATAAAAGTGGTTTCAAGAGAAAACATACATGGCAGAAATGAAGTGATGGCTCTTGTCTACCGCAGCAAAACCACTTGTTTCATGAGGCAACTGAACAGATTGGGGCATTGCATCTGGAAATGCCGACTCAGTAAGGCAAATGGCCAGCTACTGACTGTGCAGCCTGACTTAACAGTAGCCAATTTCTTCAGCAAACACAAAGAGTACCAGTTCTGTGCTTAATAAGTGTCTATGAAAGCAAACTTTTAACAAACTCATTCAGCAAGACATCCCAAAGCAGCCCCACTAAGAAGTGTATTAAATGCTCTACTACCTAAGCAGAACAGAAGTTTATTAATAACCTTGTGGTTAAGACTTAACTGAAAGCTACAAAAATAATTCTGAACCTAGAGTTACAATGAAATTTAACCTATTTCCACTTTAAAAGTACCAAAACAAATCCATGCAATATTACAAACTGAATTTCCAAAAGGACACAAGGGAATTAATGGCTACATATATTGCAGAGCAGATTTGTTTCCATTGCAATAACTTCAAATACAAACAACTGAAAGCATAGTGCAACCTTCATACAATGCTGGAGGAAACAGCGGTAAGGGAAGAGGATGTGAACAAAAGTTAGCTATCAAAGTCTGATCACCGCTACACCAGCTTCTCATCATACATTATCTTTACCCATCTTAAAGGGGGAAAAAAAGCCCGTTCATCATAACTACAAAAAAAAACCAACAAACACTTCACGGTCACATATTATTATTTCTTCCACTAGAAGTCATAAAGAAAAAGACCTTACCCCTCAAATCAACTGCCATATTTGCCACAGCACATAGCAACATCTCTACCTCACCACATACATATCTATCCAGACACCATACCCTACTTTCCAGTTCTAAGGACTAAGAGAGGGGAATGAGTGACATCAGGACATATGTTTCCCTGCCAGACCAAAGCAGGTAAACAGTATCCCCAAACAACAAAAAACAAAGACAAGCCTATTGGCAACTTAATGTGTCACCAATAAAGTCCCACTGAACAAGACACAGTGAAAGTTAGAAGCATGTAATCCTACAAGGAGTAAAAAATTAAATAATCCAAAACCAGAAAAAGAGTGAAGTGTGAACACTACAGAGACGGAAGAATGCTCCTTCGTAGTTCAGTGAAAACAGGTATCATGAGAATGAGAAAATCCACTGGACAGTGACAAGAACATGAAGGGCTAGCAGAAGATGAGGAGGGGAAAACAAACCACAACTTCTGTCACTGGCAATCAGACACATCTGGGAAGGGGAAATAATCTGATGGTACCGAGCAGGATGAGAAAAGGACTGCCCACAGATGGGACAATGCCACCAGAAAGAAACCTCAGAACAGAAAGCACAGGGAAAGAAGACCACGAAGATGAGAGAACTGTAGGGAGAACCCAGAGGAACACGAGAGCTGTGCAGATCCCCGACAACCCGGGGGTTCTCGGAGCCGGAGTGCCTGGCGCGGGTTCCCACGGGGCACCAGCGGCCCGGCCCGAAGGATGCTGAGCCCGGCGCCCGGGCTGGGGACGGTCCTGGAGGGCCCGGCCCGGGCGGGGGCTGTGTCGGGCCGGGGGAGCCGCCGCCTGTCCCGCCGGCGGCGAGAGCCCCGTGCGAGGAGCGGCGGGGCCGGGACCGCCCGCACGGGCGCCGCGGGGCGGCGGGAGGGACGCGCGAGGGACGGGCAGGCAGCGCAGGGGTCCCGGGGGGAGGCTCCGTCCCGGCGGGTCAGTGATCCCCGTACTCACTTTTTGTGGGGCACCGAGTGCTTGTCCCTCCTGCCGGCCGCCGCGGACTGCTTGGGCCGCCGCCTGCGGGCCTGCAGAGCCAGCACTGCCGGGAGAACAGAACAGCCGGGAGCCGGCGTGAGCGGCGGCGGCCGCACAGCCCCCCCCGCTCGCTTCCCTCCCCCTGCCCGCCCGGCCGGCACAGCGCGGTACCTTTGCGCGAGTTCATCGCCCCGCGCTGCGCGCTGCTCGGCGGGCGCGCCGCTCCCCAGCTCGCCTGGTCCCGTTCCCGGCCCCGCTCCCGATCCCTTTCCCGGTGCCGTCGCCGCCAGCACCGTCCGGCAGCATCGGCACCGCCGCCCCGCGCCGCCGCTGCGCAGGCGCGGCGGGGCCGCGGCCGGAAAGGCGCGGGCGGGGCGGGGCGGGGCGCG